CCCATCCCCGCGGAGGGTGCAGCTGCTCCCTGCCTCGGTGGTGTGGGGGGATATTTGGAGGCTCAGACATCCCGCTGGATGTGTCAGCAAGGCTGGGATGCCATGGGGAGAACAGGCCCGGCGGGGACTGCAACAGCAGCGGGGTGGTGGTTGTCTCCAGTTGTACTGGGGAGACCAGTAGTGCAAGCACAGTGTGCCTCATCCCGTCTCTGGGAAAAGGGTTGGTGGCCTGATCCTGAAGGCTCTCTGTGGATGCAGAAGGCAGCGTGGCGGCAGGAGTGGGGCCGTGCTCCTGGCTGGCACTCCCGCTGGGCTGGGATGTGGTGCCTGGGGGATGCTGGCACAGGACGCAGCTCTGCCTCATACCCTTCAGGGGATGGAGATGGGGACAGGCCTGGGCTCAGCTCCCTCGTTGGCTCGGACACGGGGGCTTCCCCATGCTTCCCACCACTGACAGGCTCTGTCCTGCAGCTGCAGCCAGCAAGCTGGAGGTCTCCATGCCAGCGGTGGTCGAAGTGGAGAGTGGGGGCACGGCCAGGATCGAATGCAACTTCTACATCCCTGGAAATGGTTCCTACACCTACATCAACTGGTTCTACGTGAGTGCTGACCTGGGAGAGGAGTGGTGGGCGGTGGGCTGGGTTGGCAGCTAGCCCGGGGCTTTCTCCCGGGCTTTGCATGAGCCCAGCCTTGGCCCCTTGCCTTGCAGATTGACCGGAACAACTGGGTGAGGCTGTGCCGCATCACGGGCAGCGAGGTCCTGGAGGAGAACACAGACTACAAGGGACGGATGTCAGTGGGGGAGGACAAGGCCCTCTCCATCAGCAGGGTGACGATGCTGGACGCCAAGACCTTCGTGTGCCAGGTCGGGGCAGGCAGCCACGGCGAAGGCGAGAACCGTACTGAGCTCCACGTCTACAGTGAGTGAGGGGGCAGGAGGGCAGCATGGCCATGCATCTGTGCTGTGGGGTTGGCGGGAGATCCCGCTTCATCCCTCCTAATACACATGAGGTGGCTTCTCTTTCCAGAGGTCCCTGAGGCCCCTGAGATCACGCCGAATGCAGGAGGCATCTCCGTGCAGAGCAGTGACATCTCACAGGTGAGGAGAGGCTCCAGCCATGCCAGGCTCCCCGCTCCCCTCTCCCCACGGGGGCACCTGGTACCCAAGGCTCTCTCTGCTGCTGCAGATTGCCCAGTGCGTGAGCAGGAACAGCTTCCCACCCCCCAACATCACATGGCACAAGAACGGGGAGAAGCTGCAGCCAGAGGAGAAGAGTGAGTTGGATGGGGATGGGGATGAGGGACCGCACCTGCCTGCTTGGGAGAGGGGCTGGGATACTTGTGCTATGCAGGGCCTCATTAGCTGGGGACTGGCAGCCCGTGGCCACCCAAAGGAGCCCTGTGCTCCCAAGGGAGCCCTCCTCGCCTCCTGCGGCCTCCCCACGGGCTGGGAACAGCGGCTTTGTCCCCTGCAGTGGTGAAGATCCCAACCACGCTGACCCGTGAGTCAAGTGGGCTGTACACAGTGAGCAGCACCCTCTTCGCCCACGTCACCCGGGAGGACCGCAACTCTCTCTACTACTGCACTGTGCACTACTGGCTGCGGGGAGAGAGGCGCACCGTTGAGTCACGGCGAGTCAACGTCACCGTCTTCTGTGAGTCAGGGGCTGGGGGCCATGCCTGCTGCCCAGGGACGCGTGACAGAGCCCCGCACTGACCCTCCCCACTCTCTCCTCTCCCAGACCCCGCAGAGCATGTGAAGCTGCACGTCATGCCATCCTCTACGCTGGTGAAGGAAGGGGACGACATAAAGCTGGTGTGCGAGGCCGATGGGAACCCAGCACCTGTCTTCAGCTTCTATAAGAGAGAGGTGAGGCCAGAGGGGACCTGGGCACCTCTCCCTTGGCAGACCCCTTGTGTCCTGGCTGCTCCTTGCTCCCTGCCTGGAGGGCCCTGGGGAGAGGGATGCAGCGGCTGGGATGGAGGGTGCCCGCGTGGGGCTAAGGGCTCTGCTTTCTCCCCACTGCCTGCAGCTGGAGGACAACTGGCAGGACCTGACTTCACTGGCAGACACCAACAGTGGGGTGCTGAACCTGCACGATGTGAATAAGAGCAGCAGCGGCCTGTACAGATGCCAGACCCTGGACTTGGATGATATGAGACAACTGGAGAAGGATGTGGAGCTTGTTGTGAACTGTAAGGCGGGGGACAGGACCCTGCGCATCTCATGGTGGGTGCCCTATCCGTCCTCCTCACACTACCCTCGTCTCCATCCCTCTCCTAGACATTGAAGGGGTCCATGTGAAGATGGAGCCACCCTCACCCCTTCACGAAGGGGACAGTGTGAGGCTGAGCTGTGACGCCCACAGCCCTGTGGCCCTGGACTACCAGTGGAGGGACGAGAAGGTGAGCAGGCATTTGGGTACTGTCGCGCTCAGGCTTGGCAAGCCAGGACTTTGCAGCAAACTGGGCAGAGCCAAGAGCTTGCTCCATCTCTCTTGAGAGAGGCCAGGGGTAGGATTCTTCCTTGCATGGACCTGTGTTGCCCATCTCCACCTCTCCCTTCTGGCCAGTACTGCAGAGATCCTGTGCTTGCAGGCTTCCTCGCTGTGCGTAGGAGGGAGGGCTGAGCCCCTTTGGGACAGCTGCAGAGCCTGGGGAGCTGCGCAAAGAAGGGCCTGGTGCTCAGGGCTCATTGTTGTGGGGCATCCCTTCCCAACAGGGCAGGAAGGTCGCGGAAGGGAACCAGCTCTTCCTGAGCAACCTCACCTTTGAAACCTCCAGCAACTTCAGCTGCAAGGTGATTGCTCCAAGCGTGCCTGGGCTGGAGCAGAGCAAGCAGGTGGCTGTGGCTGTTCAGGGTAAGAACTGGCATGTGTGTGGGCACACTGCCCTGCCAGAGTCCTGTCCCTCCCAACATCAGCCCTGTTTCCCCCGGAGAGCCTCAGGTGCTTCATGTGCACTCCCCACAGGGAAGCCGAGGATCGTCGCCATCAGCTCCCCGCTGTACGTGCGGCAGGACGAGGTGGTGAACCTGACCTGCAAGGCCATCGCGTTCCCCAGGCCCTCTGTCCACTGGAATGTCAATGGGACGGTGAGAGCTCTGGAGGGTGCTGGGTCCAGGCTGTGGCCACCTGAAGAGGGGCGCACATTGTCTCAGGTGCTGAATCCTTCACTGCCTATTCCCCTCGCAGGCTCATGAGTACGTTGAAAATCAGCACATTGCCAGCAACCTGACGGTGCGTGTGAACCACGACCTGCTGCGGGCAGGGGCCATGTGCAGGGTCTCCAATGCGCTGGGTGTCAGCGAGAAGCACATCCAGCTGCTGGGTGAGTCTTGGGCACTGCCCTCTGCCCCGGGAACCCAGTCACGTACTAGTCCCCCTCGCACAGGCGCCCGTGTGTGCCATGCTGCCGTGGTGTGGCTGAGCTCTGTCACTTTCCCTCCCTTCCTGCTCTATCAGTGGAGTCCATCAGAAAAGGTCAGTCTCAGCACCATGCTGGGTGAGTGTGTCCGTCAGCCCAGGCTCTGGCGGGAGCGTGCCACTGACGGGAGTCACTCTCGCCTGGGGAGGGAGCCTTGGCTGCTTCTTCCAGCACCGCACGTGTCGCTGCTCCTCTCCCTGCCAAGCTGCAAGGGAAACAGTGGCTCTGCCTCCACCTGTTTGCGGCGGTGTCAAAGCCGCCTGCTTGTCCTCAGCCTGTAGCCCAGCGAGGCCATCAAGTGCAGCTTCCTGCAGCCTTGAGCCACTGGGCAAGGAAGCAAAGGGATGGCCTGATGTCTTGCAGGAAACTCTGTAAGCCATCCTCCTATGGCATGCAGGGGCATGGCAGCTGGGAGCAGAATGCAAAGTATGTTCATGCAGAAACTCCCCTAACGGAGCATTTTTGTACTGACATCTGCATCCTGCAGGGAGCTGGAGAATCACCGGGAACTGGAGTCCCCATGGCGCTTTCCTGGGGGAAAGGGTCCTTTGCTTGCCCCCAGGGAGGTGCAATAATGCAGAAGCTGGAGAGCATCAGGGTGGGATAGGCCTTAACTTTTTCCTCTCCCATTGTGTTTAGATGAAAAGACATCAGAGAGCAAAGGGGTGATCATTGTGGCGATCATCGTCTGCATCCTTGTGGTGGCTGTGCTGGGGTCTGTCATCTACTTCCTGCACAAGAAAGGCAAGATCCCATGTGGCCGCGCTGGGAAACAGGACATGTAAGCACTGCCGCCCACCCTCTCAGGGAGCCCTTGGGGCCAGAGGTGCTTGCCATCACTCATGCTTCCCATCTCATTGCACCAGCCGCTCCCTGCCCAACACGGAGGGAGGCAATAGTGCAGCCTCAGGGGGCACTGCGCTGGGGTCTCGGCAGCGCTTCCAGCTTCCCACAGCCTCAGGTCTGCACTGCTTGCCCCGTCCTTGCAGGGAGGCGATGAGGAGGACAGCAGAGTGGTAGAGCAGCCAAGGGACCCATCCCCAGGGAGGGGCTGGGCAGCCCAAAGTGTTCTCTGAGCTGGAGCCTCTTTCACCCCCGGCCTTCCTGTGCCCCGGTCCCGCTCCAGAGCATCCCCTGAGAAGGAGCCCCAGGGCTTGGCCTCACTCAGCCGCATGCCCTCTTTGGTATCACAAACATGTCTCAAAATTGTCACCTCCCTCCCCTAGCACAAAGCCAGAGGCACGTAAAGACAAGATTGTAGTTGAAGTTAAGTCAGATAAACTTTCCGAAGAGGCGGGGCTCCTGCAGGGTGCCAACGGCGAGAAGAGATCTGCCGAAAAAAAATCGTGCACGGCCCTTCCCCAGGGCCGGGGCTGCTGCCGGGGCTGGGAGCGGAGGTGAGGAGCATAGGGGGGTGCACTGAGGTAATGCTTTGCTCCTCTCCCAGCACTCCCCACCCTGCATGGGCCTCCATCATCCATCATCAGCACTCGAGAGGGGCCGTGGGAGGGAGGGGAGGTGACAAAGCCACAGCTGTCTGCTCCAAGGACAAGGAGCAGCCTTCCCCTGCACGGTGCAGCTCTGCTCCATGCCAGCCCCTGGCACCTCCTGGGAGCACACTGCCCTCTGCCCAGCCTGCTTGGCACTGCCTCCTTCCATGCTCCTTGGAGCAGCAGCCGGGCTCCCCAGGGTGCCCTGGGAGAAGGAACTACTTAAACATTTCTGGCTGGGAGTCAGAGCAGAGGCTGCAGGAATGGGCCCTGCTCTGGCATCTCTGAGCCAAAGCTCTCGGTGAAGGATGAGATGAGTCTCCTGTGCCGCGTGCTTACCTCTCACCTGGGGTCAAGAGCCACTGGGGGCTTGAGCATCACGGTATCGGTGCTCGATCGTCATCGTGCTAAGGCAGGGTTTGCCACGCTTATGCGTCCTGTGGAGTCAAGGGATGTGGCACCTGAGCACGCTGCAGTTTTATTTGCCTTAGGCCACGAAAGAACCCGTCCCTGGTCCCGCTGCCCTGCACGCTCGCTCTCACCGCCCCTTGCCCTGGAATGGATGCTCAGCCACCACGGGGTGGCGCGGGCTGGCGGCTCTCCCCCATCGCATTGCTGTCTGTCACACAGACACCGGCAGTAGAGGACCTGGTTTTGTGTTCACTCCTAACTGCTTTTTTTTTTTTCCTCCTCTTTCTGTTTTGGTGGACTGAAGAGCGAGAAATACATCGATCTGAGAAACTAGAGAGGGAATCTACTAAGTGCTTTCTTCCTTCAAACCTTTCCTGCTCTTGGATTGCCTTGTCCCACCCCTGCTCCAGTGCCTGGGGACACGGCCAGAGATGATTGCTGCGTCGCAGTGCTGAGACCCAGTGCGCGGGGGACACCCCCTGACTCACCTGTCTGTTACCTCAACCGTGGGCTTGCAGGTTGTCAACTTAGCAGCAGCAAAGCTGGACTTGCTTACTACTACAGAGTAGCCGACAGCAATATTAGAAAGAAATATCCCCTTAAGCTACCTGGTGGAAGGATTTGAGGCTTTTTCAGGAAATCTGTCCTGTATGTGTGTGGGAAGGTTTTGATGCGTTTTACCCCAAACTTGTTCAGAAAAGCTGGTGAAATTTTACTTTTACTTTTTGGATGTCCCAGGCACCTTAGATGTAGCGGTGTGCAGGTTAGACGAGCGAAGAATGGAAGCGGTGCGTTAGAGCGGTGTCTGCCAGCTGCTGGGGAGGTGTTAGTGCTTTGCTTTTCCTTTGGACTGTTCTTGTCCTGTTGTTTAGCCCAGCGTGTCCCAGCGGTGCTGTGCAGGCAGGGAGCTCCACGACGGGTAGCTGTGATCCTACGGGAGGTGAGTACCTGGCAGAGCGAGGACAGGGGCGCCCATCTCTCGGGCACGTGCCAGACCAAGGGCTTAGGTTCTCTGGTTTGTAGCATAGCCTTGCTGACGTGAGGGGGAGGGCTTCCCTCTCCCGCTCCCCAGGGAATTGGATTGCTTTTAGGGGGGTTGCATAGCTGCTGGCAACAGCAGGTCCCAGAACCTCCCCCTCAAATTTAAAGAGTATTAGGCCAAGGCCAGTTGGTGATGTCTCAGGGTTTTTTTTGTGCTGGACAATTACCAGCCCCAGGTAAAACTGATTTATTTCTGTGCTTCGGTGGCACCTCTGGCCCCACAGTCAGGCTGGTGCTACAGCAGCTGAGTGATGGAGAGGGGAGACGGGGAAGCAGCCTGCCTTTAGCTTCCGCTGCCATGGCCCGTCCCAGCCCTCTGCCTGCAACCGTGGCTCTCCCTTCTGCGTCCTCCTAGCAAGATCAGCCCCCGCAGCCCCTCCTTCCTCTAAGTCATGTACTCTCAGTGCTATGCTGTCCACTAGCCTGTCTCCCTCCAGCCCTTCGGCAAGGGGCTGAGGCTAACCCTGGGTGACAGGAGAGATGTCCCCTCGTGCACCCCCAGCATCCTCTGCCAGGAGCGGGGAGCCGTGCAGCAGCCCGGCGGCCAACACCCTGACAAACGGTGAGCTATACTCCTGAGCGACAAGTGTTGTCCAAGCAGAAGCTTTGGTTTATATATATTTTTGTTGGATTGTGTGTAAATTTCCAGAAGTTTTGTCTGAAACTTGCAAGGTTTTTTTTATATATGTGAAAATAAAGTACAAAGCTCAAAGCTCAAAGCTGGGTTCTGACGGCGTTCCCACTAGCGGCAGCCGCACGGGAGGGTAAGGGCAGCGTGTCTCTCCTCGGTTTCAAGGCTCGCTTCCCCAGGAACAGGTTGCCAAGGCCGGGTGGCACTGTGCACACTCCCACCCTCAGGTTTGCTTCCACAACAGCAGGACCTTCAGCTAGGACATAGGCTTAAGTCAGCACAGGACTGTCGGCTTGAGCCCCTCCTCACTCAGGCCCCCGGCACTTGGGACACGGCTGAAGGTCGTGGTGCACTGGCGGCTGCTGCCCCGTGTCTCAGCACGGCTGCTCTCAGCAAGGCATCTGCAGTGGCACACGCTGCCGTGGGGCTGCTTCTGCCAGAAACGGCCCTTTGCTTCCCAGACGAAGGCAGCAGAACAGGGTTGGCCTATCCTGCCTTTGCAATGCAGCCGGGGCAGGAAAACGTGCTCTGTTCAGTGGTGATAGGTGATGCTGTTAAGAGGTGGTGGACAAGTCCAGTACCAAATACTAAGAGGTAAGGGCTAACAAGGTAGAGATAGCTGTTAGTCAGTAATCCTGTTGAGGTCCTGACAGATGACACGTTTATACCCCCTGTAGCTGGCAACAGATAATTCTATAGGTTCTAATAGGTAATCGCATTAATAGCTAATATAGATACTAATAACTGCCAATACTAGTAAGTATTGGTAGTTATTTGTGACAGGGGTCACTTGTGGTCAAGTGACTCTATGTCCTCTTTTAACCTCCGTGTCCTCATTTGACCCCTGTGACCTCATTTAACCCCAGGCCCACGTCGTACAGGGGTTCACTTGACCTCAATTGACCCCCCGTGTCCTCAAGTGACCCCTGGGTCCTCAAGTGACCCCTGTGTCCTGAAATGACCCCTGTATCCTCATTGAACCCCAGAGCAACCTCTTTGAGGGGTTCACTTGATCTCAAGTGACCCCTGTGACCTCAGATGACCCCTGTGTCCTCATGTAACTCCTATGTCCTCATTTAACCCCAGGGCAAAGTCCTTGAGGGGTTCACTTGACCTCAAGTGACCCCTGTGTCCTCATTTGACCCCAGGACAACATAGTCAACGGTTTGCTTGACCTCAAGTGACCCGCGTGTCCTCAAGTGACCCCCGGTGTCCTCATTTGACCCCTATGTCCTCATTTAACCCCAGGGCGATGTCTTTGAGGGGTTCATTTGACCTCAAGTGACCCCCGTGTCCTCATTTGACCCCTATGTCCTCATTTAACCCCAGGCGCCATCTTTGAGGGGTTCACTTGACCTCAAGTAACCCCAGTGTCCTCAAGTGACCCCTTTGTCCTCAATTGACACCTCTTTCCTCATTTGACCCAATGGCAACATCTTTGAGGGGTTCACATGACCTGACGTGATCCCTGTATTCTCATCTGACCACCTTGACCTCATCTGAGGTCAAGTGAACCCCTCAAAGATGTCAACCTGGGTTTAAATGAGGACACAGGCGTCACTTGAGGACACAGAGGTCATTTTAGGTCACAGGGGTCACTTCAGGTCAAGTGAACCCCTCAAAGACGTCGCCGTGGGGTTAAATGAGGACACATGGGTCAAATGAGGACGCGGGGGGGTCATTTGACGGCACGGGGGTCACGCCAGGTCATATGAACTCCTCAAAGACGTTGCTCTGGGGTTAAATGAGGACATGGGGTCAAATGAGGTCATGGGGGTCACTTGAGGTCAAGTGAAGCCCTCAACGAGGTCGCCCTGGGGTTAAATGAGGACACGGGGTCACTTGAGGTCACAGGGGTTACTTGAGGTCAAGTGAACCCCTCAAAGACGTCACCCTGGGGTTAAATGAGGACACAGGGGTCACTTGAGGTCAGGGGGTCACTTCAGGTCATGTGACCCCCTCAAAGACATCGCCCTGGGGTTAAATGAGGACACGGGGTCACTTGAGGTCACAGGGGTTACTTGAGGTCAAGTGAACCCCTCAAAGACGTCACCCTGGGGTTAAATGAGGACACAGGGGTCACTTGAGGTCAGGGGGTCACTTCAGGTCATGTGACCCCCTCAAAGACATCGCCCTGGGGTTAAATGAGGACACAGGGGTCACTTGAGGTCATGGGGTCACTTCAGGTCATGTGACCCCCTCAAAGACATCGCCCTGGGGTTAAATGAGGACACGGGGTCACTTGAGGATACAGGGGTTACTTGAGGTCAAGTGAACCCCTCAAAGACTTCGCCGTGGGGTTAAATGAGGACACAGGGGTCACTTCAGGTCAAGTGAACCCCTCGAACACATCACCCTGGGGTTAAATGCAGACACAGGGGTCACTTCAGGTCAAGTGAACCCCTCGAACACATCACCCTGGGGTTAAATGCAGACACAGGGGTCACTTCAGGTCAAGTGAACCCCTCGAACACATCACCCTGGGGTTAAATGCAGACACAGGGGTCACTTCAGGTCAAGTGAACCCCTCGAACACATCACCCTGGGGTTAAATGCAGACACAGGGGTCACTTCAGGTCAAGTGAACCCCTCGAACACATCACCCTGGGGTTAAATGCAGACACAGGGGTCACTTCAGGTCAAGTGAACCCCTCGAACACATCACCCTGGGGTTAAATGCAGACACAGGGGTCACTTCAGGTCAAGTGAACCCCTCGAACACATCACCCTGGGGTTAAATGCAGACACAGGGGTCACTTCAGGTCAAGTGAACCCCTCGAACACATCACCCTGGGGTTAAATGCAGACACAGGGGTCACTTCAGGTCAAGTGAACCCCTCGAACACATCACCCTGGGGTTAAATGCAGACACAGGGGTCACTTCAGGTCAAGTGAACCCCTCGAACACATCACCCTGGGGTTAAATGCAGACACAGGGGTCACTTCAGGTCAAGTGAACCCCTCGAACACATCACCCTGGGGTTAAATGCAGACACAGGGGTCACTTCAGGTCAAGTGAACCCCTCGAACACATCACCCTGGGGTTAAATGCAGACACAGGGGTCACTTCAGGTCAAGTGAACCCCTCGAACACATCACCCTGGGGTTAAATGCAGACACAGGGGTCACTTCAGGTCAAGTGAACCCCTCGAACACATCACCCTGGGGTTAAATGCAGACACAGGGGTCACTTCAGGTCAAGTGAACCCCTCGAACACATCACCCTGGGGTTAAATGCAGACACAGGGGTCACTTCAGGTCAAGTGAACCCCTCGAACACATCACCCTGGGGTTAAATGCAGACACAGGGGTCACTTCAGGTCAAGTGAACCCCTCGAACACATCACCCTGGGGTTAAATGCAGACACAGGGGTCACTTCAGGTCAAGTGAACCCCTCGAACACATCACCCTGGGGTTAAATGCAGACACAGGGGTCACTTCAGGTCAAGTGAACCCCTCGAACACATCACCCTGGGGTTAAATGCAGACACAGGGGTCACTTCAGGTCAAGTGAACCCCTCGAACACATCACCCTGGGGTTAAATGCAGACACAGGGGTCACTTCAGGTCAAGTGAACCCCTCGAACACATCACCCTGGGGTTAAATGCAGACACAGGGGTCACTTCAGGTCAAGTGAACCCCTCGAACACATCACCCTGG